ACTACTGGTCCCTAATAAAATAATTCTTAAAAAAAAAAAAAAAAGGAAACCTAAGAAATTGAGTCCAAATATTATTTTTTCAATATTGATAAAAATGAATTTAGGTAGTTATTCATATGGATATCCAAATATTCTTAGATCATTTTGATGCCTGCTTGCTTACTTTTTATTGCAGTTTTATTAGCTTATTTGATATTCTGTGATCAGGTTATTTTATTTACAGATTTTGATTTAGTTATATATTTATTCTTCATTTTTCCATCAAAGCTGATTTATAAAATGTCAGACTTGTTTTAGATTGGTAGACAGAGTACTGAAGTCTGTAGACATTTTGTTTATATTAAAAATAAGAAACTTTTGGGGCCAGCAGGTGACATGGAGCTTAAGTTCACAGATTCCCACATACCCACCGGTTTCAGGAGACATACTGGATGCATGTGCTTGTGTGCCCAGAATCCCAAGAGAATGGAGAAGGGATGATGGTATGACCACCTCCCCTAGGGGTGATAATCTCATTTTCTCTCCCTCTCTTTGTCTTCCATCCAGCAAGTGCACGTACCGTATAACAAAAAAAAGGAATATTTACATATAAGAAAAGAAATTGGCCCTGGACACTAATTTATAAGACTTTTACATTTGTTTATTCCTAGTGATTTTAGAATTACAGTTTTGCCATATTGGCATTATCAGTAATAATATTTTATATTTGTAAAGTTTAGAATAAAATAATTTTCATTTTAAGTTTTAGTTACTACAAATCAAATCTTTAAAGAGAGATTTTTGCTACAGGGCATGTGTGCTTAGCAGAGAGACAAAGCAAGAAATCACTACACAGGGTGGAGTGGCCACACTACAGTCCCTTCTCTTCCATTCTCCTCTCAGGATCTTGGGCATGCGCCCGTGACCAATGTGAGTTTTAAGCCTCCGTGTCTGGGACTTGAATCATGGTCGACTACATCCAGCGATGTAACCATTAAGTCATCTGCTGGAGCCTGGACTAAATGATTTCTAAAAATCTTTTTTAATTCTTAAGAATCTGTTGAAGATGTTTTGATCAACTGGACGGGAGAGAAATGTTCACATATTGAAATGTTCACTTTGTAAGCTAAATAATGTAATTGAATGTATAAAAAAATTTTAAAAATTTTTTAAAATTAAAATAAGTTGAACAAAAAAAAGACTGCTAATCTAGAAAGAACAGTAGTATAAATGATTAATTCTCATTACATGTTTTAACACAGAACTAAAGAAGTACATTTAAGAATTATATGTACATAAACATGATTCTTTCTTCATCCTATACTAATTATGAATAATACTGTATTAATTATGAATGGCAAAATTCTATAACCCAGACTTTCAAGCACTCTCTTTAATTTGATCACAGTTTTCAAAATAGGAAAATGATCAATATTAGTGAAAGGTAGGTTAAAAAAATATATATATATATATAAATACAGTTATATATTAATTTTCTTCTTAGAAATTTAGTACCATCCTCTGCCCCCCCTCTTCCCCCCCTTCATCCAGTTGATTTGCTTTATGTATGTTTGTGTTTATGTGTTCACTGAGCCTTTTGTTTTTAAAATCTGTTTTATTCCTGTTTTACAGAATGATTATCAACCTAGCTGTGGGCGGTCTTTACGAAGGACACAGCGCAAACGTCAGCATGCTTACCAAACACGTTCTAACATAGAACATAATTCTCAAGCATCATCTCAAAATTCAGGTGTACAAGAAGACTCAGACAGCTCCTCAGAGGTCAGATATCTGTCGTTATTTATTAGTGTAATTTTTTTGTTCCCATCCATTTGGGTTTACTTTTAAGGGCCACTTCTTCAGTAGATAATTATTGAATATTTTAATAATTTTCTTACAAGAGGTTTATTCATTAATAAGGCTTCTAATTGGCAAAATTAGGCATTATATTTAATTCTGATTCATGTCTTCTCTTATTCGTACCTCAGGTATTAAAGATGGGTATTCTAAAAAAAATCCAAAATCTGAATATTCCAAAAATCCCACATTCTTTGAATGGTGCTGATATGATTCCACAAGTGAGAAATTTCACTTTGTGTGATGATCACAATTAAAACACTGTAAAACAAAAAGTATTGTATAACATTACCTTCATGCTATGTGTATTAAGTATATATGAAACATAAATGGATTTTGTCTTTAGATTTGGGGTGTAATCCCCAAGGCATGTCATTAGGTATATGAAAATATACCAGAATCTAAGAAAATCTAAAATAATGTTATGTCCCAAGCATTTTGGAAAAGGGGTACTCTGATCTTGTTGAGGATATCAAATATGCTGACAAATGTTTGGCTTTGAGGCAGTGAAAGGGAGAATGAAAGTAAATTTACCTAGAAATGGAAAGAAGTAGAATATAAACAGTGCTAATAAGTAACATAGTCCTAGTACAGGTTGTAATTAGCATAATATACACATTTTCTGTTGTTGTTGATTTTACATATCATGAAGATCATTGGTAGTTGATTTTTCTCAGACTTAGCTTTTTCATGATAATGAACAATATGATAGTTCTTTTCTTTCTATCCCTCTGTTCTCTAATTCTTTCCTTTTGTTAAGTGTACAGTAATGATTTAATCATGCTTTAACAATGTATGTTACTCCAGGTCATCTCCTGCTGTGTACAGTTCTTAAACACTCTTATCAAAGATATCCCCACTTCCTCAACCTTGAAAATCTTGATCTTAAAAGAATGGTCATGTATTCTGGAATTAATGTTACCTTTTAAATTAAAATTAAATAATGTACTGTGTCATCCATTCAGTAATAACATGACCTTTTAAATAAATTAAAAGTAAAATACCTGTAATGTGTCATCCATTCAGTAATTAATGTTACCTTTTTCATGTAATAGTAGTATTTTGTTTTGTATTTCTTTTTGTTGTTTGTTATATGGCATGTGTGCTCACTGGAGAGAGACAGAGAGAAAGAGAAAGTGAGAAATTATGTCCTAGGAGAGATGGCCATGTTGCAGTCTCTTCTCCATTCTCTTTATGGGATTTTGGACAGGTTCACATATCGTGCCTGGCAATTTTTTCAAGTTGCTGGGTCAGGGACTTGAACCATGCAGTTGGTCGTGTGAGATCCAGCCACCTTAACCCCCCACATCACCTGACTGGGCCAGTGTGGTCGTAATTTTGAAAAAAAATCTAATCTTGGGGCCAGCAGGTGGCATAGTTGGTTGAAGTGCTGGATTCCCACATATCTGATCACAGTGCTGGTCCTGAACCTGGCAGCTTGACAATCACACTGGGTGCCTGTGTTGTGTGTTCATGCCCAAAATCCTGAGAGGAGAATGGAGAAGAGATTGTGGTATAGCTTCCCCCACGGGAAATGCTTTCTCACTGTCATTCTCTGGTGAGCACGTATACCTTATGGCAAAACAAACAAACAAAAATGTAAAAAGAAATCTAATCTTAATAAATATGATTGAAGTGATTTTTGTTTTTGTTTTTGGTCAAGATTTGCTTCAAGGGGAGATTAATGTCTCTGTATTGACTGACATGCATGACATTGAAAAAGCAATGTAATACACTGTAAAGTTATATGTAATCCAATGTAATATAAAGAAGATTATGATGATAATAAAAATAAATAAATAAATTTAAAATAAAAAGATTTGTTTAAAAATAATCCCTGGAGATTGAGTCAGTGAGTGAGGATATAGATAAAATAAGGTAGGCATAAGTTATTGTCTAAACTGGAAATTGAAAATTCAAGGGTCATCTATTCTCTCTACTTTAGTATGTTTGAAATTTTGCTTAATAAAAAGGTGGTTTAAATTTTGTAATTAAGGGAACCAGCAGTTAGCGTAATGACTGTGTCATTGGACTCCCACATAGTCGACCATGGTTCACGTCCCAGACCCGGTGGTTTAAAACTCACGCTGGGTGCGTGTGCATGCGTGCCAAAGATCCCAAGAGGAGAATAGAGGAGAAGGGATTGCAGCGTGACCATCCCCCCTGGGGGGGTGATTTCTCGCTTTCTGTCTCTATGTCTCTCTCTAAAAAAAAAACCTCTACCAAAAAAAAAAAATTGTAATTAAGGGGACCAGCAGACGGCATAATGGTTACATTGCTGGACTCTCACATGGTCAACTGCTGTTCAAGTCCTGGACTCGTGGCTTAAAAAGCATGCTGGGTGCATGTGCATGTGTGTCCAAAATCCCTAGAGAAGAATGGAGGAGAAGGGATGGTGGTGTGGCCATCCCCCTTGGGGGATGATTTCTCATTTTCTGTCTTTCTGTCTGTCTTTGTCTCTCCAATGAGCACACGTGTCCTATAGCAAAAATTTCTCTTAAAAATATTTTGTGATTAAGACATGTATCTTTAAATGTACATGTCTTAATCACAAAATATTTTTTGTGAAGGCATTTAGATTTTTTTTTCTTTTTTTTTTTTTGGAGAGATTTTCACTGTAGGGTGCGTGCGCTCGCCAGACAGACAG